TGACTGTCAGACTCTGTCAGCTGTAGGGAGTTTACACAAAATTTTCTGAGGAATCAAGGAAGCAAAGCAGAACAACTGCTTATCAGTGAGGTTAGAACCATGGTATGTCTCTCTTCCAACCTAGTTAATTAGCTACTAGAGCTTTCAGTACACAGGCCTTCAATACAACACGTACAAAAGATAAACCCTCAAGTGTATATACACCGTGAATGATGGCCCACATCACAAAATGAGTAGAAACAAGAATAGCATGGTATCAAGGAAATGTGAGCACAAAGAAATGCAACAGGTGCAGAAAACATCCCATCATGTTTGACTATGAGTTTGCGGACGTGGTACTCGGCATAAGGTGTGGTGAAGAGAGAGTGACACTGAGTCTGTCTCCAGGAGTGATGGTCTCACTCAGTGACTCAGGCCAGTACCGGGCACTTTTCTCCTGTCACCTAGCACAACCACAATGTCACCCATCGAAACCACAATGGCACCCTCTACTGTTGCCACAGTCGCAACTGCAACTGAAGGTGAATCTGCACCTTCCCCAACAGTTCCATGTATATACCTGCTCCGATGTCTAATATGTTTTTTAGAAGGAGGTTTGAATAAACACATTCACTTGTAGCTTTCATTTTGATCTGCAGCATCGTTCTGTTTAAAAGGTTTTAGAACGAGTTTCCTTGAGTCTGGTTGATGTTTCATGTTGCCACGTTATATAGGAAAGACAAGACAAAGATGAAGTCACAGAGTAAGTACCAGAAGTCAACCTCCAAGAGATTGGAGCGGTTAGAGAGACATGAACTGAGGGAAAGGGGCTGGAGAGACGATGATGACAGTGGCCTTTGTTTACTGATGAGAGTGAGTTTGACTTGACTACGTGAGCAACTGATAATCTGTTGTTAATACAATTCCAGTGAGGAGTCAGTGATATTCCAGTCAGTGAGTTTCCAGACTATGTAACTGATATGACAGTGGAAAACCAACACGACACCTCCAAGTTAGCTTCATAGTTGACTCATAGAAAGTGTGGCAGCAGTCAGCGTAAGTGTATATAGTATCTTTAGTATTCAACGAATTTGGGCCAGAGTTTTCTGTAGTTGAAGCAAAAGATGTCACTAAGGCAATATTTGTTGGTGTTGCAGTGCTAGTATGCACTGTGTTTGATTTTGTTGCATTCTTGGCAGCAGTTGGTGTCATGATAACAGCTGCAGTTCTGCTCCATTATCAATAGTAACAGATTCACTTTGAGTCAAAGGGATGATACTACTACTCGTCTCTAACGTGATGGGCGGCATCGTAGAAGCAAGGGAAGTGATAGTTTCTTCTCTGCTGGACATGGTAGACCTTTGAGTGGGTGTTCTACTTGGTTTGAGGGTGACAGAGCTGCTGGTAGTCAGGATGGTGGTAGAAGCTATGATACAATTTTGCACAACGCGTAAAAACCTGAAGATACATGTAGTGCTTCGGACTTACTACCACTTGCTATAAGAGTGGTTGTGGTGACATTAACACTCTGACTGGAAAGAATGACATTCATTTCTGCACGAAAGTAAAACAGTCTCCAAACAAGATAATTTTACAGGAGGGTGTACATTACAGAATATGCATCACTTTGGTGAAAAAAGGCCTTCACTTTCGAAAGTGCCGGAAATATTCCGGATTTTCACTGTAAAATAGTGCAGGAAATTTTGAAGCGGCCCTTGCGATAATATTTCTCAAATCTTCCTGCATATGTAGGAAAATCAGAAAGTGGCACAGGAAAGTTTTCTACGATAACTGAATTTTCCTACACGTGCAGGAAACTTCCCACATATGTAGGAAACTTCCTGCAAAATGCGACATGATGGCTGGAAGGAGAGGTAAGAGACTCACTAGGAATGACAGTGATAGGTCCAACCAGAGGA